AAATAATGGCATAATATTATATATAATTTATCACTATATTCTCACATCAAAATCTGTAGAAAGATATACAAAACACAGTAAATTTATCACTTGTTTCTGATGCCTGTACACACCAATAATAAACATGAATATTACAAGTACTCTTGATAGTACTGTCTTGCACACTGGTGCTTTACCGTGACATGGGTGAGACTTGCTCACGACATATAAAATCCTCAGGCTAGATAATATAGCCGAATACTATAGCTAACTAAAGGGGAATGGGGAGGGAACTAGAAACACCTACTTCAACCTATCCTCCGCTGAGAGATGAGATGTAGCTCCTGGTCCACGTGTCGGGAATGCCCCCACACACACGTCGTCGTGTCCTACCGGAACCACTCGTCGTCCCACCGTTTAGCGCGTCGTCTCCGTGCCTTCTTCCTCTGCAGGTCCGTGCTCCTTCTCTGCTTCTGGTAGGGTTGGAGTCGGTCTCCTGGCCGTCGTCTTCTCCCAGCAACGGCTGCCGCCTACGTCTCAGCTGCAGTCGTCCGGATTCCCCAAATAGTCCTCTCCTTCCTCAGCTACCCAGTGGCTCTGTCAGCCACTACGCTGTCGCGAACTGGTGAACTGCCACAGACGTCACATACGTCACTGCACGGCTTCACTGCTTCTTGCACAGTACCTGACTGGAGCACTTGTTGCTCAAATAACCGTCGATTCCCTCTCTGGTTCAACACATGAACTAGGGAAGACCTCACAGAGTACTGGCAGACTTCAGGTGACGCGTAAATCCACGGGAGCGGGAAACAACTGTCAAACTGACAGGACCAATCGTCGCACGTCCAACCTCTTTGACGTGTCGTGTCTGACTGATGGCGCCAGCGCGGCGCGCGGCCTGGACCCCCTTCCTTCGTGACGTCACTTTCGCCACGGGAGGTTTTCATTGGCTCCCGGTGCCACATTGCTGTCGGTGACCAATCCGGTGCCACTGACGTCACACGGTTTTGGCGGGGAATCAGGAAGGCCAGCGCCATCTTGGCTTCCTAAAGGGCCTATACCACAGGCCAAAATATTACTATTTCACTAATTTCTCGGCTCTCCGAGAACACTTCACTCTCTCCCATATATCAATTTGAAGCCTGCTACGTAGAGAATGCTTGGGAAAAGTAGACATGACTCTTACTGCAGGCGTGGGAGAATTATAAGGGGGGGAACTCCGTCACATAATATATATATATATATATATATATATATATATATATATATATATATATATATATATATATATATATATATATATATATATATATATATATATATCGGTGAATACAGGCAGCAGGTTTTCTTTTAAACATGTCTCATTGAATATGACCGCATATTTGGTATTTACTATCTTCTGATTTAGGACTTCAATTCCTCTAACTGTTTTCTTAGCATCAGGGTTTATCTGAAAAAGGAGTTCTCCAAAACTCATTTTCGTAATTTCAAGGTGAAGAAAAAAGTGAATTACTATAGAATGTATTACACTTATTTATACAATTTGCACAACGTTTCGAACCTCCATGGTTCATTCTCAAGTGAAAAGAATTTTCAGAACTGGTTGATTTATACCCGCTCTGGGTCAGGTGATAAGACAATAAAAGTAAAAACATGGGGGGATACATAAGGGATAAATGGGGGGGGGGGTGAAGCACATAAGAACATAATAATAAAGGTAACTGCGGAAGGCCAATTGGCCCATACGAGGCAGCTCCTATCTACATACAAAGATTAATCAGGTGTAATTGGACTGTTATGTTGGACATTGTCTTCTGTGTTGGCATCGTTATGTTCTGGTCTTGTCCTTACTCTCATGGTGGGTAGAGTAAATAGTTCCGTGATTTGGGTGTTCATGGTAGGTTGTTCTATTCTTATGTGAATTGCTTTAAGAATTTGTAATCTTCTTGCATCTTGGGTTTTGTCTATTATACAGGTACTCTTGTTCAACATTTCTCTTGTTAGGGTGATGTCATGGGCTTGTCTCATGTGATTCCTGGGGGCACCGGATTGAAGATGACATGTCAAACGCCTCGTCAGCTTGGTCGACGTCATACCTATGTACTTAGATTGAAGGTTACATCCTTCGTTGGGGCAAGTGTACATGTATTCAACGCTTGACTGCTGTAGAGGGTTCTCCGTCGGCTTCGGGCTGTTTTTGATAAGGAGTTCGGAACCCTGGAAACACAAACCGTAACTGTCACTATTGTCGGCTTGTTACAACTTGTAATAAAGTTGTTACATCTTGGCTTAACGTGTTTATGACGTATTAGAACGTTGTCACAACTTGCTATATTGGTTGTTATAACTGGTTAGGAGGTGTTAAAACTTGTTCGAACGTTGTACCAACGTCGTAGTTTCGCTGTGTGTTTGGCAGGAAGTCTTCTTGGTTTTGTAGAATATGATCAGGTTTTGGTTAGGAGTAATGCTTTTTACTCCTTTACGGATTATTTCCTTCATTATTCTTTTTTCTTTTATATGTTCACTGTGCATGGTTGATTTGTAATATAATTTTATTGGAGGTATTGTGGTTTCTGTTCTAGGTTCTGGATTATACCAACGGTCCAAGTGTCTTCTTATAGCAGCGTTTATTTCCGCGTTGCTATATCTGTTGTTCACCAATACCTGAGTTACTCTTTCAAACTCTCTACTCACGTTGCTCCATTCAGAGCAGTGGGTAAGCGCTCGACGAATATAAGCATTGAGAACACTGGCTTTGTATCTTTGGGGGCACTCACTTCTACCGTTCAGGCATAATCCTATGTTGGTGGGCTTGGTATATACGTTGGTGCTTAAAGAGGTTCCTATTTTTGTTATTAGTACATCCAAGAATGGCAGACTGTTATTTTCACTATTTTCATGTGTAAATCGGAGTACTGACTCTCTCTCTAGGTGTCTTTTTAGGTCAATTAGTTCATCTGAGTCTTTTACTATTACGAATATGTCATCTACATAACGGCAGTATTCAGTTGGTTTTTGTCTGTTACTGAAGTAGAGTCTTTAGTAGCCCTCCTTGTATTGTCACCTTGCCCTCCGTGTGTTGTCACCTTGCCCTCCGTGTGTTGTCACCTTGCCCTCCGTGTGTTGTCACCTTGCCCTCCGTGTGTTGTCACCTTGCCCTCCGTGTGTTGTCACCTTGCCCTCCGTGTGTTGTCACCTTGCCCTCCGTGTGTTGTCACCTTGCCCTCCTTGTATTGTTAACTTGTCATTTATGTAATCTCACCTTGCCCACTCTCTCTCTCTCTCTCTCTCTCTCTCTCTCTCTCTCTCTCTCTCTCTCTCTCTCTCTCTCTCTCTCTCTCTCTCTCTCTCTCTCTCTCTCTCTCTCGCTCTCTCTCGCTCTCTCGCTCTCTCTCTATTGTTATCTTGCCCTCTCTATATTATACGTTGCCCTCTCTTGTTATCTTGCCCTCTCTCTATTGTTACCTTGTGTCTCTCTCTGTCTATTGTTACCTTGCCCCCTCTATTGTTACCTTGCCCCCTCTATTGTTACCTTGCCCCCTCTATTGTTACCTTGCCCCCTCTATTGTTACCTTGCCCCCTCTATCTATTGTTACCTTGTGTCTCTCTCTGTCTATTGTTACCTTGCCCCCTCTATCTATTGTTACCTTGCCCCCTCTATCTATTGTTACCTTGTGTCTCTCTCTGTCTATTGTTACCTTGCCCCCTCTATTGTTACCTTGCCCCCTCTATCTATTGTTACCTTGCTCCCTCTATCTATTGTTACCTTGCCCCCTCTATCTATTGTTACCTTGCTCCCTCTATCTATTGTTACCTTGTGTCTCTCTCTGTCTATTGTTACCTTGCCCCCTCTATCTATTGTTACCTTGCCCCCTCTATCTATTGTTACCTTGCCCCCTCTATCTATTGTTACCTTGCCCCCTCTATCTATTGTTACCTTGCCCCCTCTATCTATTGTTACCTTGCCCCCTCTATCTATTGTTACCTTGCCCCCTCTATCTATTGTTACCTTGCCCCCTCTATCTATTGTTACCTTGCCCCCTCTATCTATTGTTACCTTGCCCCCTCTATCTATTGTTACCTTGCCCCCTCTATCTATTGTTACCTTGCCCCCTCTATCTATTGTTACCTTGCTCCCTCTATTGTTACCTTGCCCCCTCTATCTATTGTTACCTTGCCCCCTCTATCTATTGTTACCTTGCCCCCTCTATCTATTGTTACCTTGCCCCCTCTATCTATTGTTACCTTGCCCCCTCTATCTATTGTTACCTTGCCCCCTCTTTCTATTGTTACCTTGCCCCCTCTATCTATTGTTACCTTGCCCCCTCTATCTATTGTTACCTTGCTCCCTCTATCTATTGTTACCTTGCCCCCTCTATCTATTGTTACCTTGCCCCCTCTATCTATTGTTACCTTGCCCCCTCTATCTATTGCTACCTTGCCCCCTCTATCTATTGTTACCTTGCCCCCTCTATCTATTGTTACCTTGCTCCCTCTATCTATTGTTACCTTGCTCCCTCTATCTATTGTTACCTTGCTCCCTCTATCTATTGTTACCTTGCTCCCTCTATCTATTGTTACCTTGCCCCCTCTATCTATTGTTACCTTGCCCCCTCTATCTATTGTTACCTTGCTCCCTCTATCTATTGTTACCGTGTACTCAAAGTATTCTAACCTCGTCCTTCATGTATTCTCATATGAAGTTATCACGTAGTTATCGTAACACTGGAAGTATTCATCTCACGATATCGTAACACTGGGAGTACTGAGGTCGATGTATCGCAACACTGGGGTTACTGAGGTCGATGTATCGCAGCACTGGGGTTACTGAGGTCGATGTATCGCAGCACTGGGGTTACTGAGGTCGATGTATCGCAACACTGGGGTTACTGAGGTCGATGTATCGCAACACTGGGGTTACTGAGGTCGATGTATCGTAACACTTGTAGTACTCAACTCAAGGTATTGTAACTTGATGGATACTCAACAGATTTAGGTATTGTAACTAGAGGGGTACTTACGTTAAGGTGTCTGTTGTAGGTGACAGAGAAGCGGTCATCGTTACTGTAGGTCTGACGACCCACTGTGATGAGGTGATGGTCCCGGAGGCGGATCCACGATACCTGAGGAAGACGCCCAAAATGAACGTATATAAATACAGTTCTACTTGGTGAACACCCGGGTGGCTTGTGAACACCCGGGTGAGTGGTGAACACCCGGGTGATTGGTGAACACCCAGGTGAGTGGTGAACACCCGGGTGGCTGGTGAACACCCAGGTGAGTGGTGAAAACCCGGGTGGCTGGTGAACACCCGGGTGGCTGGTGAACACCCGGGTGGTTGGTGAACACCCGGGAGAATGGTGAACACCCGGGTGAATGGTGAACACCCAGGTGAGTGGTGAACACCTGGGTGGCTGGTGAACACCCGGGTGGTTGGTGAACACCCGGGTGGCTGGTGAACACCCGGGTGGTTGGTGAACACCCGGGTGCTCATTCAATAACAGTTTAGTACATACACAGCTGAACAGCACTTAACAAGTCATACATTTAATGACTGTAAATGACCTGATGCTTCTCACATGCCTAACTGCAAGAGCTCTTGAATGAGTAACCTTCACCGTGCCCATCAGATGATGAGTGCGCGTGAGTACATGCATGGGTCACAGCGTTACAGTGGTCTCTTTACTCACCTCGCACTCAAATTGTACTTCTTAAACTTCTTGTAGCAGTAAATCCCTAAACCCATAAATTCACCATAAAACCCCAAATTAATTATTATCCGAATCAGTTAAATAATCAGTAGATTCTGGTCTATTTTAGCATAATAAGTGCTATTGAATTCGACCTCTGTCTCCTGGTTTGTGGCAGTGACTATATGATAAGAACAAATTAACTGACGTTCTAGCTTATAGGACAAAATGTTGCGGTGAAGCCACTTTGCTTCTATAGTGATAACTTATCTTCAAAATCATTAATTAATGATTTTTTTTTCCAGTTGATGAAGAGGTGGAAGTCATCATGCAAGTTTGTAAAGAAAAATGGTGCATGAAAGCAATTCATTTGATAACGGACAGACAGCCTGTGAATATATGGCTTTAGGCTGTGTCATTATGTGACACTGTAACTGTGAGGTCGCTCCGTGGTTGGATTGCTCTCCTTCCTCATGGTATAATCTCATAATAGATTAATCTCACATCTAACTCATGGAAAGCAATTTATTGATAGGTGAACAGAGGAATTAGTTGAAAGGAGGCGTGTGCAATCATTTCTGTCCCTCCCGGGATTCGAACCCGGGACTCTCGACTGCGAGTCGAGAACGAATCCAGCTGTACAACCAAGACCCAATTATATAAAAACGTTACATGTGTTATATTAAAAAAAATGCTAATTAAATGTTTAATAAAAACATGTTATAATTTGTTTTAAAAATAAAAACTACCTATATAATTTTATCTTACTCAAAAGACGATGAGTTTGTAATACTGTAATAAATAAATAAATGTATGTATGTATGTATGTATATATATATATATATATATATATATATATATATATATATATATATATATATATATATATATATTTATATATATATATATATATATATATATATATATATATATATATATATATATATATATATATAATATGTTGTGAGTAAATTAGGTGAGTAACAATACCTTCACATCAATACATTTAAGGCATGCTCTAGTATAAGGATGAATAATTAATACACTCATTCTCATATATTCAGGAAACTCCCGAGTATGCTGGGTGGTGAGCAACTATGACTCTCCAGATTCATATATTCAGGGTTCGCAAGTGCTGGGGAGCTGTGATACTGACACGTTATTCAACCGGACTCAAACAAATTCAAGAGAGTCGCCGGAGCCGCATTGCAGTGCAATGGGACTCCTGCAACCTCGGCTCTCACACAAAGACCTTGGGTCTGCCTTCCTGCCTCTTCCTGACTGCATAATCCTTGTGTTGTTCTGTGACAGCGTCTGACTGACACCCGCAGTCTTCAACGACAAGTCCAGACTGATATTAGAGAGCTGACATACTCTAGCTCCTTCTCACTGAAGATGGCTCTCTCTCTCTCTCTCTCTCTCTCTCTCTCTCTCTCTCTCTCTCTCTCTCTCTCTCTCTCTCTCTCTCTCTCTCTCTCTCTCTCTCTCTCTCTCTCTCTTTACTCTCTCTCTCGGAGATTATGCTCACAGTCAGCAGAGTATACTCACAGTGTCACCCCACCTAAGCAGAGTATACCCACAGTGTCACCCCACCCTAGCAGAGTATACTCACAGTGTCACCCCACCTAAGCAGAGTATACCACAGTGTCACCCCACCCTAGCAGAGTATACTCACAGTATCACTCCACCCTAGCAGAGTATACCCACAGTGTCACCTCACCCTAGCAGAGTATACTCACAGTATCACCCCACCCTAGCAGAGTATACTCACAGTATCACCCCACCCTAGCAGAGTATACCCACAGTATCACCCCACCCTAGCAGAATATACCCACAGTATCACCCCACCTCAACAGAGTATACTCACAGTCTCGTGGTCTGCTCTGTGGACGATGACGCAGGGAAGGTTGGCGGTAGTGCCCGCCTGGGCGCCCACAACGCTGCCGTTCACGCCCCTGGTGGCGACACGCAGAATCAAACTACGTTCTTCATCAAGTATTAGAACATTTGATATAAAGAAAATGATGTGTTTAACCTAAAATGGCCATGATTATATGTACCTTGACAGTGAGGAGGTAAATATTATTTATATTATATATAATGTAATATAAATAATATTTAATAATAGTGCTCCTAGCAGTATGGGTTCGAGTCACTTCTAGGGTGTGAGTTTTCGGTTGCATGTATGCCTGGGGACCATTCAGGCTTGTTTGCATATAAAGTATATATAATATATACAATGAGGAGCATCACATTACTGTTTCTTTATTTTCCTCTTCGACTTCCTCTTTAGTCTTTTGAACAGTGATAATAATTAAGATAATAATTATAATGCAATAACAATAACATCGACAATACCAATAATTCACTGAATAATTATTGTAATAAAATATAAATAAATTTAACTAATAGAAAAACAACAATTTCAATCTTACATTCCGGAATGCATGTTTGTATTTCATATGAATAAATATGAAGTCATATGAATGCGAAGAAAGACGGCAGGAACACGCAACCCATAACTCAGTAAGATCTCTACAAGAAAAGACCAGGATTCGAACCCGCGATCGTCCAGGATCACCCCTAAACGTATACGGTACCGTGACCACCGCACCATGTGATCGTCTAATCATCCAATGTACCATAGACGATCATATGGTGCGGTGATCATGGTACCGTGTACGTTTAAGGGTGATCCTGGACGTCGAGGGTTCGAATCCTGGTCGGGTATTTAGAGTTACATTCTTGTGAAGTCACTAGCACGCACAATGTTTCGGGCATGGCCTTAATTCTTAATTCTATTTGGGTTCACTTGGGCCCACGATCGTTGGGTCGAGAGTTCGAGTCTCCTAGTACCCAAGTAAATACAAACAAACAAAAATCCACGATAGTGGGGCTTACCAATTATATGACGTGTGCTTGGATCACTACATGCCTTGCTGCCTTGTACTTAAGCAGCAGCTGGGAGAAGTATATAATTTCAGATGGCATCTGCCTCGGAAATCTTCTCTATTGGAGCAACTCAACTTCCATAAACGACCTCACACCAGATGATTCTGACCCTCGCAAAATGTCGAGGAAGTTGCTTCAGGGCCTTAAGGTTGAAAACACAGCCTGCTTGGAGTGTTTTGAGTCGCTTGGCTACTTTATTTCTTGGCATCATTTTCTGACTAATGATTGAGCGACCGGGGCTTCCAGGTTTGTGGGTCTTGACAGTCCCATGTGTATATCATGGCTTATTCTCTCGGCCCACTGGCCGATCCCTCACAGTGTTCAAATGAGAACTGGATGAACACCTCCAAAGGATATCTGATCAACCAGGCTGTGATTCGTACGTTAAGCTGAGAGTAGCCGCGTCCAACAGCCTGATTGACCAGTCCAGCAATCAGGAGGCCTGGTCGACGACCGGGCTGCGGGGACGCTAAGCCCCGGAAGCACCTCAAGGTAACCTCCTAGTAACCTCGGGTGTTGACAGTTCAGTGCGTGTATCATGGATAATTCTCTCGGGTCTTGACAGTTCAATGCGTGTATCATGGCTTATTCTCTCCAGTTGCTTTTGGCAGACAAAGGCCAGACTTTTTAGCATGAATAATCTTAATCAATCTGTTTACTTTTGCTCTCAATTCGGCAGAGGTATGCGTAGTGATCCTTTTGCCTCTTATTTGGCCTACAGGCTAACGTGTATGTTCTCATTAGAGTGATATTTTTTGATGACATATTTTCGACTTACCACATGTTCTCACAATATGTTGTTGTTGTTTTAGATTCAGCTACTCGGAACAAAATTTTCATGTCGCACAGGCTAAAGTGAGCCCGTAATAGAGTTCGGTTATTCACGATAACCTTGTTACTGTGATATGTGTGTCAAAGTTTTAAATTAAATTAGAGTTTCCTTTGAACAAATCCACGATATATTTAGTTCAAAGGAAACAATGGATTTGTTTCCTTTGAACAAATATATCACGTAATTGTGATTTCTGTGTGTAGAGTTTCCGTCTTTTTGCATTGATTTTTATCTTTTGTTTTAATAACGTTATTTTGGTAGCTGAGATAGATGCACAATGTTCACTAGTGTCCCATTCTTCAACCGTTTTTTTAACCATTGTAGTCGCTTGGATTTTGCATTTAATGCAGCTGCTCTTGTTGAATGAATGTTGAGTTTGATGTGCAGGACTTCAGTTTTTTCACATTCCAGTAAGTAATGCAATAGTGGCGCCTATTGACTTAACTGCTTGAACGTAGTACATTTTGAGTACTGGTAGAGATTCACAATCTCTAAGACTTGTCAGGGAGCGCAAAGCTGAGTTTCTGGCATTACAACGTTCCCGAAGATATTAAATTTATTGGGTGAATTGCAAATGGCTGTCTACTATGACTCCAAGATATTTAAAAGGGGTAACCCACTCAATTTCGTGTCCTTGTATTGCGAGTCTGATGTCTTGAGTTCTCATATTAACTGGCATTGCCTTGATTTTTTACCTTTAATTTTCACTGCTATGTATTCCGCTTCCCTGCTGATGATGTCTAGGCATTTTCGCGCATGATTCCTAGCGCCATTTCCATTGATAATGACTACAAAGTCATCTGCATAGTTAAGCAGTTTGGCTGTTGGTAACTTGGGCTTCAAGAATTATTCCATGAGACAATTGAAGAGGAAGGGGCTTAGTATTCCTCCTTGCCACCATTCTTTTCCCCCCGTCCCATCCCAAATTCTTACCTTAACCCCTTCCAAGTGTTATATAGTCGTAATGGCGCCAAGACTATATGCTTGGCGCTTTTCCCTTTTCCCTCCCTCCCTCTCTCTCTCTCCCTCCCTGCGAAGTCCCATTTTCCAACCTCTTTGAGGAGGATGTTTTTCCTTGGAATTTGACTTCATCTTCTCTGTTAAGCAGACTTCCTCTGATTTCCTTATCCTCCACGCAGCACAGTGTAGCTGGAACATTGGCTAGCTCGAAGGCTTTTTTAAGGTCCAGAAAAATAAGTATTCCAGGTTTGTCATTGATTTGATCCAGAAGAGAGGTAAGACATTCTGTGGTTCCAACAACTTTTCTGTAAGCAAACATATTTTGGTGCAGTGGTTTGGCTTTTCATTCAATTCGATAAAGAGTCATTCTTTCCGCAGTTTTGTCCAGACAGCTTGTTAATGAGATGGGTCTTGGATATCCTGGGGGTCTTTGGGTTTTGGAACGGGAACTAGAATTGCCCTATTCCAAGACAGTGGTCGAGTTCTTGTTACCCAAACTTTGTTGATGAGTTTCAAAAAAATTTCTTCACCCTTTTCTCCTAACTTGGCCAGCATCATGTAAGTGATTTTGTCTTCACCTGGAGCTGTGTTTTTAAGTTTCTTTGTTAGTTCTTCTCAGTTCTTTCAAACTGAAAGGTTGGTATAGTTCTTCCGATGACGCTAACGTATCATCTATTTTTTCCCATCTTGAAGCTTGCATTATTTGTTGGTGATGCAGAGTTGCTTGTGAAAGTTGACTGGAGCTGGCTCTTGAAGCATGTAAATTTGCTAATCTTTCTGCTTCTTGCTCAGGATGTACCTGATGGGGCGGAGGACTCTCTCAACAACTCCCCTATTCTCAAGAAGGTTTACAACTGCCGCTTTAAACTGAGGAGACAGTACGGTGCTTTGTGAGTTACCTTGAGTCTTTATTTCCCCTTCCAGACTGGGGTGGGACGGAGGTGAGGTGTGTGTGACAAGACAGATATAAGGAGTGTTAGATAAGACAGAACACAAGGGACGACGTATTTCGTCGTGGACACCCACTAAGCTTAGGGTCTTAGCGGGTGTTCGCTCAGTACATCTGTGCCAGGTGAGTACGACGGGCTCACCACAGCCCGTACTGCGTGGGGAGGTGAGTACGACGGGCTCACCACAGCCCGTACTGCTTGGGGAGGTGAGTACGACGGGCTCACCACAGCCCGTACATCTTGGTGAACAGCTAATCGAGCTTTTTGTTCCCAGTAGCTAAATCTAAAACCACACCAGCCAGAACAGAATCACTGGGAATGGTAATGGACCGACCCTAATAACGCAGGATTCAGGAGTGGAATCGATGTAAGGGAGGCTATGGAAGAGAAATATGAATGCAATAATAACCACATATCACCCGATATCTCACTGCACGGGGTGTTATTAATATTAATTGGATGGAGGGAATGTCTCCTAATTTATATCAGCACACTGCAGAGGGGGCAGTTATTAATATGCTCCTCTGATACATGACACCAGTTCCACCATATTAGCATACGGTTCAGAATTAACTTCTGAACAGGACCTAGAGGACCCGATATATCACCCTGCTATATAGTCGCATATGCTTGGGGCTTTCACCTGATAACTACCCATATCCCTTGCCCCATATATTCCCTTCCCCAGCTTGCCATATACGGGCTCCCGTTAATATTTTGATGACTCTGGTTTCTGGGATCACGACTGGTTTCTGAGAAGCGAGTTCGAAACACACTAGTCAAGTCTGGGCCAACGCAAATTTTGGGGTAACTAAAATAACTCTCAGAACCCACTCCAGGTATACTTCTGGAATGATCCGCTGCCATGATGGCTGGACTTAGATTTGGTTACAAAAAGGGGGGGGGCGCTGGGGACGGCCCAACCCTGCTATAGTCGCAGGTTATCACGTTACGTGTTTCTTACAGTCATAAGGTGTTATGTGTTAATATTCCTTAGTCATGAGGTGTTATGTGTTAATATTCCTTAGTCATGAGGTGTTATGTGTTAATATTTCTTAGTCATGAGGTTAATATTTCTTAGTCATGAGGTGTTATGTGTTAATATTCCTTAGTCATGAGGTTAATATTTCTTAGTCATAAGGTGTTATGTGTTAATATTCCTTAGTCATGAGGTGTTATGTGTTAATATTCCTTAGTCATGAGGTGTTATGTGTTAATATTTCTTAGTCATGAGGTTAATATTTCTTAGTCATGAGGTGTT